CCCAGCCCTGGGCTCCCTCCTGTTCTGCCAGGGCTCCCTCCTGTTCTGCCAGTGCCCCACTCCTGACCCACAGCACCCTGCTCTCCCAGCCCCTGGTTCCCCCCAGACAGCCCTGCCAGTGCCCCCCAATCCCAGCTCCGGGCTCCCCCCAGACGGCTCTGCCAGTGCCCCCCAATCCCAGCTCCGGGCTCCCCCCAGACGGCTCTGCCAGTGCCCCTCAATCCTGACCCACACCCCCTGCTCTCCCAGCCCTGGGCTCCCTCCTGTTCTGCCAGTGCCCCACTCCTGACCCACAGCCCCATGGCGTCCCAGCCCTGGGCTCCCCCCACACAGCTCTGCTGGTGCCCCTCAATACCGCCCCACAGCCCCAGCTATCCCAGCCCTAGACTCCTCTCTGCTCCTGCCCCCAGCTCTGCTGGTGCTCCCCAGTCCCACTTGGAACAGTCCGCTTTGCAGTATCACAGATGGAGGTGTGGCCCTTGGTGAGACGGGCAGATGGGACGTGCCCCCCCTTTGACCCAGTCGAGTCATTCTGGCTTTACCCCATGAGGTCTGAAGGCAGGTGGGTTTGGGGGGAGGAGGGTGTCGGGGGGAGTCCCTTGTATCTCAGGGCAGTGGAGGGGCCGTGTGACAGGTGCAGCTGTGCCCCCGGGGGGCCATGTGGAGGGAGCTGTGTATGGGCTCAGTGCCTTGCGTTCCTCTTCCCGCCTGGATCCCAGCCCCGGGCCAGGCGCTGTTTGTAGCAGCAGCAAGTAGGGGCTGGCCAGGAAGCTGAGCGCCTGCCTGCAGTGCGGTGTGGGGATGACTAATCCCCAGCTGGCGTCTGCCTGCGAACGGCTGGGAGCAGAGTGACTGTGCGCGGCCGAACGCTAAAGATTCTTTCCGTCGCTCGGCCCCTGGGCCGGGCTGGGTTATATTTGGAAGCGTGACCAATGTGTCATGGTCCTGAGGAGCGCTGGTGAGTATTGACTATCAGCGCCCCTGGACCAGGGAGGGAGCAGGAAATGGTGGCTGTCTGTGCCTGGGGCCTGATCCGGGGCACTACCAGCCCTGCAGGAGCCCTGGCACAGGGCAGCCAGGCATCCCCATCCGCACCGCCAGGTGACTTTATGCCTCTCGCGAAGCCTGTTCTCTCCAGCACAAGCTGCAGTTGTCACATTCTCACCTGACTCCAGGAGCTGGGGCTTTAAGGAAATCACCAAAGACCAGGAGCCTTGCTGTAAAACCATGCAAGCAGGCCACATCGGTTGTGCTCTTGCAATTGCTTTCTCTCTTTGGACCCTTTCCCCGGGTACCCTTCGGTACAAGGACATTCCCTGAGCTAGCGTGGCCCATGGGGAAGGATGGGAGTGGAGATAAAGCACTGCAGTGGGGCCCTGGCTTCCAGGCCCAGATCTGCCTTGGACTCCATGCAGGACCCTGAACAAGTCATGTTGTGCTGGGGTTCGAAACACGCCCAGCTCCCATCCCCACCCCTATGCACGAGCCAGATTGCCAGAAGCTCCTGCCATGCCAGGCGGGCTGCAAAAGCTGGCCCTAGCTTCTCATGCCTCAGTTCCCTGTTTGCAAAATGTTCCTCCTCTATTCTTCCTGTCTTGGGTCCTTATTGTAGGCTCCCTGGGGCGGGGACTCCCCCTCCAGGTGTCTGGGCAGCGCCTGTGCACTAGCTGAGGATGAAAAATCCAACAGCAGCCAGGCTAATGATTTGGGTTTGTTCTGTGGGTGAGAGCAGCACCCACTGTGGGCCTGCCCCTGTCCAGCCCCCACAGGGATGGGCTGTGCCCCAAAGGGTTTGCACTCCGGGGTGCAAATCATCGCAGCTCCTGTGTAGCCAATAGGCCAGATTCTGCAGTGGCATGACTGTGCTTAGCTCCGTGATGGCTAGCGAGGCTCTGATCTGACCCTTAATGTCCGATTCCCCTGCGGGAGGAGCTCTAAGTTGGTGGGGCTGGGATGGGGAGAACACAGCATCTGTGTCAATGGGACCTGGGTGTCCAACCACTGTGGTTTGTAAGCTAGGGTTACCATATTTTGTGCCTCCAAATG